TGATAACGGTGTAAGAATCTATATCGAGATGTGGCTATATGCAATAAACCAGAAGTTGATATCCATAAAGTTGTACGTTTTCTTATTTATTCACCAACTTCTAGAATACCAATCAAACAGTTAAACTGAAGTCGTTTATTGTAATATTACAACTTCAGAAGAAATCAAGTGAAACTGTGTATTGTGTATACAGCACATGTGCATACAGACACGGTTTCAAATGAACAGGATGATGCATCAAACGTGATGGTAAAATGTCGGGACATGTCTCCAAACTTTCCAAGGACTGGTTCTGTTCACTTGATAAACAATATGTGTCACTTGGACCAGTTTCAACTTTCATACTTTTCACAAACTGGAAGTGTGTATAACTTTGTTATTAAGCAAGCCAGAGGCGTAGGACTTTCTCTTGCCAAGTTGGGAATGTTTGAGGTCAGCTGTCACCTGATGTCACTGTCAAAGGGTACATGGTACATGTGTCTGATCTAAACGTTTCGGACCATTAAGGAAAGATATATGGGGAATGGGCTAGTTTGGTTTTGCATGTAATCAAAAGACCTTTCTAGTTGTAAATGTAACAAGGGAGTCTTAAGTAGCAACAACCAAGTGTGAATACAATCAATCTTGCTTTTAACAACGATTGTTTTCTATTTCCAAGAATCGAGGAGCGATTTTTTACAAACTCTAAGAACAAAATATATTTTTCAAGCATTTACGGTAACCGATTATTTATTTCGGAATCATCCGTGTATGCATTCTGAATGAATGTGGTTTTACCATGACGTATCTTGAATGTTTTTGTGGGTTTGAAATCATTTCCCAGGTTTCATTCAGTTTGTACAAAATAACTGACTGAAACATTGACTTTAATATATGTACTTATTCACATTACACAACATGTTACATATGTCATACATGTCATAGAATTTCTTCAGATCCAAATTCATTTATATTCATCCAATTGGGTTTTTTTGTGCATTTTCTCGCAAATATGATGAAGCTTATATGAATACAAATGCTATATTACAAGTGCCGCTAATATGTAACATCGCAAATTCTGAAATTGTCACACACAAAAATTCAATGTATTTCTCAAAATATAATTAAAGTTAAGCCTATTTCCCAAAATGTGTATACGAGTCGTTAATTATAATTCTACCATCAAACAGAGGTAATAAATCCCAATAACCATTTCTGGTTAAAATATTCTATTTAACACCCACATGAGAGCGTAAGCTATTATTTATAGAAAAACTATTTCTTGACAGTAATTGTCGGCAGGCGTTTTTCAATACTGTAAACAGGGAATTTTTTGCGACCGTTTTATTATTGCGAGTTTTGCGAATGAGACTCAATCGCAAAAATTTAAAATGCAAAAATAAGTATAAATAATACATATATACTTTATTCACTGCAACACGTCATCAAATGTTGAAATAGTCAACCAGAACCACAAGTTACTCTATAAGTTAAAAACACAAATTAATGCAGAATGGTCACACAATAAATCACAAATGACAGTGTAAACAGACCAATTAGTGTCACTGTTACCTCACATTAATCCTGCCTTCTTCCAACCTCGCTTGATTGCGTCAGTGTCCTTTGCAATTTTGTCCACACAGGAAACAAGCCATCTTGCGTGAATCGGTTTCATGACACTGGTCAACTTTCCGGCCAACTCAGATTAACTAGCTTCGGAAAGAAGCTGTCTATTGTTTGGTAATCGAGGGGTCATCTCAACAAGGCAACTCGCAAAAATATATCGTCGCAGTATTGTCTTTGGTGTGGTATTCTCAATATTTTAACGGCGCAGAAATAAAGCTGTTTACATTAATTTTTTGAACACTTACAGTTTATGATATGTATACGTGCCGTTACTACAATATTGAAAGTATGTATGGCAATATATACTGAACCGCAAAAGAAACGTCACCATGGATAGAGATATGAGAAACCTTATTTGTCCAAACACTGTAAACATACTTTGAGACATATAAAAGAAATGAAACTTGGCAAAACTGATCATAAAGGTTGAAGTTAAAGTGTCGAAAGTTCATAAAGTGAAAAAGTCTCGGAGAAAATGGCATCACAAGTCAGTATCTCGTCTGTCCGCCATGTGCATTGATGACTGCCGTGCAACGTCGATACATGGAATGGATGAGGCAGTTGATGAAGGCCATAGGCACTTGAGCCCACACTCTAAGGAACGCCTGACGCAGTTCAGCTGCAGTTGTTGGACTTGGTCGGACGTCATTCAGCTGTCTTTGAATCTCGTCCCACAGGTGCTCAATGGCATTTAAATTGGGGCTAAGGGCCGGCCACTACATGGTTCTGATGCCTCTCTGCTGGAGAAAGTCTCTTGTTGCTCTCGCAGTGTGCACGGGCGTTATAATACTGAAACTCGTGGTTGCGGTGACGTGCCAAATGAGGTATGGGGTGTGGTTTCAAGACTTGATCAATGTACCCAGCTGCTGTGACATCATTCCCTCTCCCTGGACTGATGTTCTGGAAGGACCACAGGGCCGACCCTCTGTGCAAGACCAGTTCCACCCCACACCATGATGCTCGGACCACCCCACAAGTCTCTCAAATACACAAGCATCCGGGTAATGTTGCCAACGGCGTCGCCAGACTCACTGTCTGCTGTTGGGATACAGTAAAGGATCTCGTCTGAGAAGAGGACTCTTCTCCACTGCTGGTGGCGCCAATGCTGTTGCTGTGTTGCCCATTGAAGACGGTCCCGGTGATGACGTGGTATCAGAATGGGTCCTCGGTGTGGCCTGTGACAGTGGAGGTGTCTGCTAGTCAATCGTCGATGCACAGTGTCTGCACTAATGTGTCGCTGATGTGTCCCCATGGTCTGTCAAGCAGTTTCAAAAGCAGTAACAAAGTGATCTTGAAGATGCTGTCCCACAATCTGACGATCCTGACGTCGGATGGTAACCCTTGGTCTTCCACTACGTGGTCGGTCATCTGTAGTGTTGGTGGTCTGGTACCATTGCTGGAGCCTGCCTATGGCCCTAACGTGGACTTGAAATGCACATTCTATTGACGTTATATTCTAAAACTAATCCTATGTCAAGTCTTTGAAAGGCATTTAGAAGTGATACACATAAGGAAGAGAATGCATTCCATGCAAAAGTTGACTTTTATGGAAGCCCCATCAATTTTCACTACCCAAGAATGGGTATAAAAACATATACGTTAACGGGATTCCATATGCATTGTTTAGCATCATGCTGACAACAACCACTTAGAAAAACAACAAAATTATGCAAGTATTTAACATTATGAAATGCCACGCCTGTCCGAAAATGAGCGTCTGCGAGCCATTGGTACGCTTGAAGCAGGATCGAGTCAACGTGATGTTGCAAGACAATTTAACGTCCACAGAAACACCATTTGGTGTTCATGGCAACGTTGGCAAAAGACGAATGCAGTCAGAGACCATCCTTGGAGTGGCAGGCCACGTGAAACCAACAATCGACAAGACAACTGGATTCGAACAACACACCTACGAAATCAATTCCAGCCAGCAACAGTGACTGCAAGATGTATACCTGGCCTTCGATTAATATCTTCACAAACCGTATGTCATCGCCTTAGATGTGCAGGGATTGTTGCCAGAAGACCCGCCAGACGTCCCATTTTGACAGAAAACCACCGTCAAGCACGTCTACAGTTGTGCAAACAGCGTCTACGCTTGACGGCCATGCAGTGGGGAAAAGTTCTTTTCATTGACGAGTCTCGTTTTCACCTCAGCCACAGCAATGGACGGATTCGAGTGTACCGACGTCGAGGTGAACGTTACATCAATGATTGTGTCATGGAAGGAGATCGGTTCTTGGGCGGCAGCATTATGGTATGGGGTGGGATTACAGCAAGACAGAGGACCTGTTTGATAGTGGTAGAGGTAAATCTCAATGGACAGCGCTACCGCGACGAGATAATCGGCCCTGTTGTTCTACCGTTTTTGCGTCGTCATTGACCAGGCACTACCTTTCAAGATGACAAGGCCCGGCCTCATATTGCTCGACTTGTTCAGGATTCTCTTCAACAAAACAACGTGAATGTCATCCGCTGGCCGGCTTGCTCCCCTGATCTCTCACCAATCGAGCAAATGTGGGATGAGATGGATTGGAGCCTTCGACGTCAACCACGTGTTCCACAGACACTCCAGGAACTTTGAAACATGCTCCAGCAGATATAGATAGATATCCCACATGCCTTTGTGCGACACCTGGTCCATTCCATGAGACGAAGATGTGTTGCTTGCATCGCAACCAGAGGTGGACACACCCTATTGATTTGTAAATTGACATTTTGGCATGTTCATGCTTTTTTATGAAATCACGCATTTTCTGAATTCGGTATGGCAAATTAAACCATTTGAACACTTACAGGAGTCTTTTATCTGTTGCAAACCGAAATTGTTTCAGATTTGATAAAAAACATAACTTTGCATTAAATCTTATTCAATGTCACAGGAACTGTTCAGTTTAGATGTTAACTCCTCATAATAAAGAAGTTGACATCCATAAATTCTCTTCCCTAATCCTCTGTGTATCAATATAATTGGTAAAATATGTGGTTATTTACTGATGTCTGTGCATACCGATTTGTGGATTAACCTTTGTGCTTAACTTAGGAAACATTGAAGCATTATGTTTTATATGTACTATGTTGTAATACTTATATACTGAAACATGTCTTATTTATGTTATGTAGTAATACTCCCATTGTAAAACGTCTCTGTTTGACAATATGAAGAAAGGAAAAAGACAGGGCATCAACAAGTAACAATGATAAGTCTGCTTATTGCAGCCTCTTTTCCTCACTCATCCAGTATATTCCTCTCACCGCATAAACTCACAGAACAGTAACATCACTACAACAGCTGGTACATGTAGCTACATATACAATATATTCCGCATCAGTGTTGATCTTATTTTCATATCTATCAGCGATTCCTAGCTGGTAAATTGTCCTCCCACAAGCAAGTGACACACTGCTGTGCTGGAGCAGCTGCATATTTAAGACCTGCCGCAATAAAGCTGCAGCCACTTTAAATCAAACCAGTACAGCATCCTGTGGTTGTTTGTCTTTGAAGAGAATTAGATAAGATCGAGGGACCAGGTCGTTTCGGTAAGTCGATATTTAGTTTATAATTGTCACAGACATGACTGACGTTTGAATTAGTTTTACCTACGAGGTTCCAGGACACAAGCAGTTGTACATGTTTAAAGACTAGGATCCATGTTGTTATGTTTCTCGGGTAAAAAAAAAGCGTTAAAACCCTTTCTATTTTCATTCAAAATCTCTGCTAAAAGCCGTTGATAGTACGATTCCGACTATATCATGAAAATGTGTAAATCAATCCCTTTCAACAAGGTGTTCGCAACAAGGTTAGCGTATCCTTCCCCACCGGTGGTGCCCTCAAACACATGCAAGGGCAGGTCAATTTTTCACATGAAAAAAACACGGGAACATATGGTACAATTCAAGGAATTGGGAATTGCATCAATTATAATTTTGGTCACTGATGTGACAAATTTGGAAATGTCCTCCACATGACTACAATAAAACGTTTTGAAAGCTTTACTGAGGCCTTGAATGCTGTAAATATGACGCTCTTTGAAATCTTGGTAAAAAGACCATGCTCTATTTTACCTCAAAAGTTGTGAAATGTAAACAGGCTGCAGCTTCTGGATTATTGCTCGACATAAAGGGAAAGTTGACTGTTGGAAAGTTGAAGTTATCCCTCTTGTCATACAGGCTCACTGGTCCCCCTTTATTTCTAGTTCAGGTGGGTAAATCAGCTGAAGGAAACTGGCTATTGAACGATATCAGATCATCAATATACTTGAAGCTTAAGTCTATATACTTCTTAGCCAAAGTTCCTTGTTTTGAAATCCGAGAAGAAAACCTGTCTCGGTTTCACAATGAAACGAATTAGTCAAGGAGATGCCCAAGGGGACACCTACTACTTGCCTTAATATCTTTTCCACAAACTTCATGTTGATGTTACACACATATTATTCACATACTGTTAACATACTGGCCTTATATATGGCATTATTGGATATGACACCAAGTTCGTTGATCAAAGATTGTACTGATGCTTACATCCCCGGGAAGATCCGGGCTAGAATTGGTAATCAGCGGCCAATGCTTGTCATAAGAGGTAACCTGGTTGATGCATGTCATCGTATCACAATGGCATATGCTTCGAATTCCACCAAAAATCTCAGCTGAATCCGTCGATCCATTAAATTATAAACTATTTATATAGACCACAATGACGTGAGCTCGCACGGATGTCAGGTAGCAACTGTTGTGACCGATCTCCAGACTGAACATTGACTATTCAGAGGATCGACACCCCCTTGTGCTTTTGTAATTTGTTTATTTACAAAAGTCGAAAGTTATTTAACTTGTTAATGTACTCAGTGTGTGCAGAGATCATATATCCCCTTCAGAAATAGTAGGGAATCATGAAATATAAATGTTCATATTAAGTATTAGAACAAAGATAAACATCCTATGCAAGGACGTTTCTATCTGTAAGATTTAACACCAGAACACAGGCTATAGTTTTACGTGCCTATTTTTGTAACTTTCAAGAAAGGTCGATTGATCTCTGTGGATCTTTATTTCTGACAATCTGATTCATTCTGCTTATCATATTGTAACTTGATTTCAATGATTGTTTGTGTAGTGAGTGAGTGAGTTGGGTTTAACGCCGCTTTTAACAGTATTCCAGTTATATCGCGGCGTGTCAGCTTAATGTGGGAGGAAAGCCCGAAGTGATGCAGGTCTCGGACGTTTACCACTTTGGTGAAACCCACGAGCACAGGTATGGTGCTGACAAACCTAGAAACATAATCGGGGCGAACCGGGATTCGAACCCACAATCACAGGTTTCTGGCGTGCCCAAGGGACGCAACTCTGCATAGCGTATCGCGGCGCCTTAGACGACTGGGCCACCCGTGCCCCCGATTGTTTGTGTATGAACTAGCTATGCGGCGTGTGTAACGCGCTGAGCGTCTATGAGCTATTGGCATGCTGGAAACTGGCAAAAGTCAGCATATGGTGGCCAGTGTGTTCAATGCTTCAGAGTCTATGATAGGCAGACTATGGACCAGGTACCAACAAAACCAAAATGTTGACGATCGACATCGTTCAGGGCGTCTCAGGTCAACAACAAGATTGATCCGAAACCACACTCAAACTGCGATCTCAAACCACAAACCAAATTGCTCGAAGATTTCATCAGGGTTTAGGAGTATAAGTTACGGGTCAGAAGATTAGAAACCTACATGCAATTCACCTCCATGCTAAATGGTCACGTGTTGTGACGCCCCTTACAAACCGCCATATTGCCAACAGACGTCAATGGTGTACACATCCACCATGTTTTCAGATGAGTCCCGATTCACTTTGCACTTCTTCCATGTCTGGCGACGTCGAAATGAATGTTAAGCCAATGTCAACCTGAGACCTCATGACAGATTCGGCAGTGGATCACTCCACACCGTATTGTGCAAGAGAGGGTCACTGGACAATACTATCGGGACAACATACTGATACCCTTTGTTGTCTGGTTTGCAAGGTGTGTTGGCTGACGTTTTGAGTGGGTGAGTGACTTGAAGTTTAACGTCACATCGGCAATATTTCAGCCATATCGTGACGAGACGAAATTTGAAATTGATGATATACATTTTAACTGTGTAAAATTCTGTCGTCAAAGCACAGTATGATAACTAGAATATCATAGATGTACGTTAAACTAGTTTGAGAGCATGTAAAAATAATTAACAATCAATAATACAATATAAAAACGGGCTTTAGATTGCCACCTTCTAAAGGCACATCACCACAATGGGGACCATGGGGACTTACAGTAAGTTTGCTACCTGCATGGACCCCAGCAGGATTTACATCATCCCTTCAGTTGTTGGCAGTGGCTGACGAATTTTGCCAAACATTAAAAGGACACATATGCTACGATTAAAAGTGTGCCAGAAATATATATATTTTGAAAGAAGTGGTCTTACATACCCTCTCAGAAGGACAATAATTTACACTACTTAGGCCCCCTTCGAGCATTTGGAACTAACAATATCAGCTACTGATTTATACAACCAATTGTAAAAGTTGATCTATTTATTTACAAAATATAACAATCAAAATTTATGAATCAAGTCGATTTCCTTTAAATAACCACGAATTAAATGAGAACCTAACTGATTAAAAAGATCCATGATGGCTGAAACTTTGAAATACTTATCTACTTATCCCATGTGATGGTAAAATCACTACAGTCAAGCAGGACATGCTTGAATTGATTGTGATTCTTCCATCACAAAGAATGCAGAATGGAGGGTCTTCACCTTTTAATAAATATTAATGAGTATAACTACAGTGGCCAACACGACATCGTCATAAAATGACCTCTTCAAATCTGGCAACCAAGAAGGTGTAACCGATATATGGTTTTATTTGATGTAACTTATTCATACCTGCTTGGGTGTCCCACTTCTTTAGCATCAGATCTCGGATGTAACATCGAATAAAAGGTTTGTAATCATTGTATTGGATAAGAAGTGGTGTCGCAGATTGGTTGAGTGCTTCTTTTGCTGCAGCACCAGGCATTATGTTGCCTTTTATGCCCATATGACTGGGTAACCAACAAAAGACGATGTCGTACTTGCCAGTTGAAAGATCGTTGTAAAGTTCTAAAATATCTAAAATATTTGGATGAGTCGAAGATACATTATTCAGTATCTGAAGACAAGAAAGAGAATCAGAAAAGATGAAAAACTGTTTACATGCAGACTGTCGTTGAATGTATATCAAGGCTGTAACGATAGCATTGGCCTCAGCAGTGAAAATAGACCTATTGTCTGGTATTCTAGATGATATATTTTTGATCCAATGACAGTGGCATTTGCTACTTTGCCCCCATCCTTGGACCCATCAGCCTCCACCAGTGCATTGGAGAAAACCAAGACCCCTCAACACCAGACTCAAAGAACATCGGACCTCTGTTAACAAACTTGACCTGAAATCCGCTATTTCCGAAAACATCCTAAAGAACAAAAACCATAGCATCATGTTGGAAACCACCAAAGTCCTGTCTACCAACAACTGGCAACAAAGAAAATTACAAGAAGCCATTGACATCAGGAGACACCAGCCAGCAATGACCAGGGAACCTAGCTGCCTAGTGCTTGGGACTTATTGCTTTGCTCTTTGTCGGAGTTAATCACGTAGCTGGCGTCAATTTGCCCTTTGCTATGTCCATTCCTTCACCTATTAGTGCTAATTACCCCCGGCCTCCCGTTTGCCCAGTGTCCATAAGCTATTACTTATTTATGATACTTAAGTACTGGCTTCCATACTATCAGAGCTAATTACTGTAAAGTGTTGGCTTCCATTGTCTGTTGTTAATCACCTATCAGCGCCAATCATCTGTTGGCTTCTCTTGTTAGTTTCTACCCTTTGTAATTTTCTTCATTTTGGTATCTTATTAATTTTGTTGTCCTTACATGTACATATATATCCTCTCTGCCTCATGGCATTAATTCACCTGATGAAGGAGTAAGCATATACTCTGCAACGTTTTGTTCCACATAATAAAGAAGTTGACATCCATATATTCTCTTCCTTATGTGTATCACTTCTAAAATGCCTTTCAAAGACCTGGTCAATAGTACTTCGATTTTTGCGAAAACTACAATGAATATTTGTAATAAGATCATTGGTTTCTAAAAAACATACTAGTCGACTATTAACCATGCGTTCCATGGTTTTACAAACGCAGCTAGTTAACGAAATAGTTGATATTTAGATGCATTGGGATGATCCCGACAAGGTCTTGATATAGGGATAACAATGGCATTGTGCCACAAAGGAGGAAAGTGTCCTGTTGTCCAAATATTATCAAAAATAATCAGAAACGTTTCAAGACATGGATTGGGTATGTTGCGGTATCATGGGCTTGCTCTAGGGCAGTATTGAGCTCATGTAGTGAAAATACTTCATTGTAGTCTTCACCATCATCTGGATTAAAGTTAATAGTTTTCTTTTCTTGTTGATTTTTATGTTTCTGAAACTGGGAATAAAAATTTGATGATGAAGAATGTTTAGCTAAAGCTTCACCCAACTTTTTAGCAATGTCATCTTTGTCGCTAAGAGGACCATAGTCATCTTTAAGATGATGAACGCCATAATCTGAACCTTTCCCTTTGATTTTTTGTACTATGTTCCACACCTTTGTCATTGGCGTACAGGAATTAATCTATCAAACAAAGTTTTTCCAAGACTGTCGCCGGTTTGATTAAACGTACATGGCACTATTTATCTTACATTATTTAAATTGTGAACTGTAGGATGACGGCGAATGTATTTTTCCAATCTTCCTCCTACACTTCCGAGCCTGTTTGCAATCATCAGTAAACCATGGTTTACGAATGTGTGGTTTAACAGAGGACCAAGGAATAGTTTCATCATCAATATTATTCAGTTTGTCCGTGAACAACTGATTAGGATCAGGGACATTAAAAAAAATGTCAGATGTCTGTTTGTCAGTACAAAGTGTCTGAAACAATGGCCAGTTGGCCCTGTTAAAATTCCACCTTGTAATATGTGGATCATCACTCGGGTTAATAGCTGAAAGTATTTCGGGAAATGGTCACTTCCACACAGGTCGTCATGGACCGACAATTCAAATTCGCTATATATATTTGGATCTGTGACTGATAAATCAAGAGCAGAATATGTTTCACTAGCGGGATGTAAATGTGTCTGATCCATCATTAAATATGCATAAATTGTTATTTGAAATGAAGAAATTGTTGTTGGTATCAGTACTTCCCCCAAGAGGGTTATGACGATTAAGGTCACCCATGATGATACAGGGTCTTGGGAGCTGATCAAACAAATCCTAGAGAGCCGACTGCTGAAGAGTGAGTGAGTGAGTATGGTTTTACGCCGCTTTTAGTAATATTTCAGCAATATCACTGCGGGGGCACCAGAAATGGGCTTCACACATTGTACGCATGTTAGGAATCGAACCCAAGCCTTCAGTGTGACGAGCGAACACTTTCACCACGAGGCTACCCCACCGCCCCTGGCTGCCAGATGAAAACAGTTGCGAGGAAGTTACTTTACTTTAAGTGTTTACTGTCTATGTATATTTCTCTCTTCTTTTTCAGAAATGGCAGAAGAGAAAGCAAAGCAATATGTTGAAAACAGTGCACAAGATGATGCTACTGTTCTTTCCATGGTTGATCTGGTTCACCGTGTTGGGATCAGCATGCAAGAATCCGTTGAATACTACTCTAAATGGGCAGAGAATGGAAAATATGATCAGGTACACATACCGTCAGTGAGTATGTATCCCATTTCTCCCATATTTAACACAATACGCATCCAACATACTGATGTACATTCAGGTAAATATTCGCGGCAAATGACCTCAGGTATGAAAGACTACAACTATCCGCCCATGAGGATCCGGCATAGAATAGGTCTTCAGCAACCCATGCTTGCCGTAAAAGGCAACTAAAACTATCCGACATACATTGGTCAGAAGGTGGGCCACCATTTAATTTTTCTGGAGAGGCCTGAGATGTTTTTAAAAACAAGAAATGTTTTTGTGTGAAAGGAGGAGCCTAGTAATGTAATATATTCAGCTCACACACCGTGTCCAGCGGACCCGTGAAGATCCGGGGTAGAATAGGTCTTCAGCAACCCATGCTTGCTGTAAAAGGTGACTATGCTTGTCGTAAAAGTCGACTAACGGGATCGGTTGGTCATGCTCGCTGACTTGGTTGATGCTTGTCATCGATCCCAATTGCGTGGATCGATGATCATGATATCAATCACTGGCTTGTCTGGTCCAGAGTCGATTATTTACCAACCGCCGTCATATAGCTTGAATATTGCTGAGTGCGGCGTAAAACAACAAACCAAACCAAACCAAACCGTGTCCAGCGAATAGTTGCTTTTTTGTGTACAAAACACCAGGTTGAACTACTTGTGTCCAGTTATTTCTGAACAAATTTCTTGTATGAAGAAATCCCAGAAAGCCACTCACTCCACACGCCCACCAAATAATGAATGGACCAAATATTGCTGACATCATTATTATCCTGCAGACAGTCTTGCTGCGATATTTTAATGCCCTGTGTTTTTTTCAGGACATATGTCCGAAACGTTACCAGGGACCTATCATTGCTGCAAGTGTTCTTACAGAGCATTTTTGTGACAAAATCCCCGACATGAAAATACTAGACGTTGCTGCGGGAACAGGACTTGTAGGGAAGGAGGTACACTTTCATGCACATGTCCTTCATCCAACATGGATGGGTACCGGTGACCCTGTCATCAAAGGCGCCGCAATTTCCGGTGATCGTTGGTTTCACCCTTGTTATGATTCTTGATTTATTGTGTCAGTATGACGTCCACTGTTTGCGATTGATTGAAAATTGAAAAAGAATTAAATGATGTCCCATACATTAGCCTAACATCGACCTGGTGTACATGGGGGAAGATCTGTGAGTCAGCAATGTTCACCTTGAATCCGGCGGGCTATAAATAATCCGTCTTAATTGACCGAAAGTACCAGTCCCAAGGGTGGGCCGAGGGCCAATTCTACCCGATGTGCCAACCTAAGTCAATACTTCACCACCTTATGATGTTATAATCCGGGTTGGATCCCGACGGCATGGGACGTTAATACTGATCTGACAACCACTGGTTGTCTCGCCATGTCTCGAGTATCTACCATCTGCCGTGATATAGATGGAATAATGATGACTGTCGTCATAAAACAACCAATTTGAACCTCACAAGAGTACTCCGTTCATTGTGTTTATCTTCCTTTAGATATGTTTATCGTATCAGAACGATCAGAACCATCACACGTTTCTCACATTCGTATCCCTTAAAGGACAGATATAGCTGTACCACAAGCGTATTATCGATTGACTTTTACAGCTTCAGGCTCGAGGTTTCAAGCATTTGGATGCCCTAGAACCAGCTACAGGGATGCTGGAACAAGCCAGAAAGAAGAAAATCTACACCAACCTGTACTGTGAGTTCCTGGACGGCAAACGACTCCCCATAGAGGACGGTGAGGAACATTTTGGGTTGTGGCATACTGTATCTCTAAAATACTGTAAATGTAGTTACAACTTGTATAGCCTGCCTGTTAAAATGACTTGCTATGCACAAGGCTCTTCATTAAATATATTGAATAATAGATGTTGGTCAAAAGAGAATTAATGTTGTTTACCATGGAAGCCAGAACATGTCAGCTGTAACAAATACTGGGAACCTATTCAAATCCAGGTTGTATAACACACTGCAAATTTTACAAGAACGTAGTACTTTAATTTAGAATAGCATGTCGTTTATTCATCCGTCCTGCATTGTTAATTAAAAGAATATCCTTTCATTTGCAGACACATACAGGGAAACAACACTGCAAATATTACAAGAACGTAATACTTTCATTATAGAACAGAGTTTGGTTTATTTATTCTTCTTGTCATTTTTAGGAATATTACTTCATTTGCAGACACATACAATTGCTGTGTAACATCGGGGGGTATGGGAGAAGGACAAATTCCTTGCCACGGGCTACACGAACTAATCAGAATAACTAAACCAGGTGAGTTGAATAGAGAATGAGTACATCAATGCAAATGACCTGTGATATATATTTGTGACAATTATGCAAGGATCATGTTCTTCTTGTGGAAGAAGTGGAACAATGAGCGGGACGAAGCATGTATATATCTTCAAATGGAAACAAGAAATTCATGTGATAACTGCAATTCATCATTTAAACAAATACATCCCCCTCATGCAACACACTTACTTTTTTGTTTTGAATTTCAGGGCGGCCATGTCTGCCATAATCCTGCTTGTTTTTAACATCTCATTTAATCTGCTGAAGGAGCAATATTTGTTTGTTTTGTTTTTTGGAATATGTAACACATCCTGGGAGAATGTTAGATAAAGACGAGAAAACGTATTTAATGTTGAACCTCGGTTTTTTTTTCGCAAAACGTGTGGCAATCTGCTGAAGGAACAGCATCTGGAATATGTAACACATATTGTCTATAGTATACATCCCATAATGTACTTGACAGGGGGCCTAATCTGCATCGTGATGAGGGAGGAATATCTGACCCATGTCAAGGACTACCACGAAAGACTTGAACCACTGATGAAGAAACTAGAGGAGGATGGGAAATTGAAGCAACTGTCCCGTGAAATTGTGTCTCGGTACTCCTTTGACAAGAACGGATTGGTCTATAAATTACAAATTTGTTAATGAAATGCAAACAATCCCTCAATCCTTTGACGTCATCGTGACCTTGAAAATCGTTTTCCCCCTAACCTGGAGCGATATCTCATATGCTGTTTTTGTTTTTGATGTCCTCTTGTGATTTGGAATATCAATTTACAGTGAACAAAAAGGTAGGGTGTATCCAGTGTGTAGTTACTAACTGCTATCTTAGCATTTCATAAATGTTATATTTTTCATCGTTCTCTCTACAGAGGTTGAAATAAACACATAGAGTTAGGTAAAGTTTTAGCTCTTTTGTGCAAGTATTTCAGTGTTAATGATGCTTTACTGCAGTTCTTTGCAGGAAACACTTTGCGTATCTTGGACAATGTAAGTGTTTCAATGAGAGGGTCGCCCGACTGGTTCAATTGATGACGCCGGATTCTCAAAGCACTGCACGCAACCGTTATTTCTGGTGTAAAATAGGCCATATTTTCTAGCGCATGTGTTTATGATCACTAACAAGTAGCAGGTGTTTCCTGAAATGTGAGCGCACCCGTCTCATTCTCATGTAAAGGCAAGTCAAGTGTTCACGTAAAGAAAGCCGGGAACATCTGCAACAAGTTTTAGAACACTTTATTTAGTACTTGAATGCTATCGTACGACTCTCTTTGAAAGCTTCATGGAAAGAGTAGACTTGATTGTACATCGAATATTGCTCGACATAAAGGGAAATTTAACTGGTCGAAACCTGACATCATCCCTCTTGACATACAGTCTTGTGGATAGTTTTTTCAGGCTGAGTCTGTATGCCTAGGTCTAAATATGAAACAGATCAGGCAGTTTAATTGGACTCCTTTCTTTTTAGTTGAGGGGGCACGGGTGGCCCAGTCGTCTAAGGCGCCGCGATTCGCTGTGCAGAGTTGTGTCCCTTGGGCACGCCAGAAACCTATGATTGTGGGTTCGAATCCCGGTTCGCCCCGATTTTGTTTCTAGGTTTGTCAGCACCATACCCGTGCTCGTGGATTTCACCGAAGTGGTAAACGTCTGAGACCTGCATCACTTCGGGCTTTCCTCCCACATTAAGCTGACACGCCGTGATATAACTGGAATACTGTTAAAAGCGGTGTAAAACCACACTCACTCACTCACTCACCTAATCTTCATTTTATCGTGTTTACTTGCCATATCATCTGGAAACATTTATTCGCCTTAGTTATGAATTTCCAGCACGGTACAATTATTTCAAACAGCTTATTCTTGAATAAGAGATACATCTGTGTACGTAGAGTGTAATAACTACATTATGATGGAATGAGTGATTATTGCTTAACGCCGCCTCAGAAATCCTGCAGCTATTCGTAGAGACCTCCATTATGAGATTGGTATGTGTAGTATTACAGGAATGCATACTTCAGCAACCCATGCCTGCCGTAAAAGGTGACTATGCTTGTCGTAAAAAGGCGACTAACGGGATCGGCTGGTCAGGCTCGCTGACTTGGTTGATGCATGTCATCGATCCCAATTGCGTGGATCGATGATCATGATTTTAATCACTGGATTGTCTGGTCCAGACTCGATCATTTACAGACCGCCGTCATATAGCTGGAATATCGCTGAGTGCGGCGTTAAACAACAAACCAACCAACCAAGCATAAGTGGAATAAGTCTGAACACATGCCATACATACGTTGACACGTCACCATCAACACCAGCCATGGCACATTCACGTTGATGCTTAACGTCCTACAACAACGCAACCACACCATTTTGAAAGAATCCCTCGGACAGTACGTGGGCGAACGAGTGTGGACAGTTCCATAATTCACCTCCTTAACTTCATACTCAAACACTGATATGTAAGAACGGAAAAGGGAAGCCTGAATAGTGATCGGATCCAATGACATGTCGAAGCATGATGTCAGAAGATTGAACATTCGTGTTGTGTGCGAAGATACTGGTCAAACCACGACCTACAGTCAACTTCTTCTTCTCCTTCTTTTGTTGTTTAACGCTACACTCAGCAATATTCCAGCTATGTGTCCAAATGGACACAGAAATGGAAAAGAACGAGTACAGAGGGTCATCAAGTTTTTGACTTCAGAGAAAAGTACTCCCCAAGAAATTCATAAAAGCATGTCACAAGTGTATGTGCCCTAGTTATTCCACTGTTAAACGTTGGTCAGCCATGTTTACGCTGGGAGAAGATGCCTTGGTGATAACCCTAGGTCCGGACGTCCCTCAACTTCCATCAATGAAAATTAAATCAAGGAGATAGAACAACTTATACTGTCAGATAGACGTATTACATATTTCTAAGCCATGGATCTTTTGAAACTATTATTCATGAACATTTACATACATGTATATCTGCACGTTGGATGCCAAAGTGTCTCAATTCTGATCTTGAGGAAAGTAGAACTGACATTGCCAGAGAAAAAATTTAGAGCTGACTGAGGAGGATTTGGACAAACCCCAAAACGGGTGATGAACCAGGGGTCTACCGCTATGATCCCGAGTCAAAACGTCAATGGAATGGCACCGTTCCACTTTTTCCGGCACAGAGAATTACAAATATTATGGTTATTTGTTGTTTAACGCTACACTCAGCAATAATCCAGCTATATAACGACAGTCTGTAAATAATCGAGTCTGGACCAGACAATCCAGTGATTGACATCATGAGCATCGATCCACGCAATTACCTTCAGTCAACAGTCTTTTAATATTGGGTTATTTATTCCAAAAATGTTTTACAAATCAGCTAACGCCACCGACAATAATCTATTGGTACATTAAATATGTATGTATGTAGATTGACAATTACCCGTTATATAAGATCAACAAATGATTTTATCGTAAGCAGTCTCTTTCTCCACTAACGCTTTGAACAGTTTCCACTTTAATGTTTATATTCAATATTCGAACGTCAAGTCTGCATGAATAGTTTACATTATTGTGTAAATAATTACGAGAAAACATTTTCCATAATCATTAAAAATGTCTGTTATTGTCCAATGTCCGATTCCGACTATGTCATGTGTTATGAAAAGCCAGGTTGTGCTCACTACATTACAGAAATAGGGACGAAGAAGTGAGTGAAGACGTTTTTTCAAAGTTGCATCAGCCATATGCAGGGCAATATTATTGTCCATTGTTCGATTCCGATATATGAACTGTACATGTAACACCTAGTATGGTGATCTCCCTTTAGTTACTGGCGATCTCTAGCTCATTTATATATTGTGTTGTTCACTGATACTTATGACTTTTATATATTCTGAACTAGTTTAAAATCGAATCTGTGATATTCTAGTTATTTACTGTCCCTCGTTGACAGCTTTTTATCTAGTCTAAATCTATGTATTATTAATGTACTTCTCGTCACGATATGGCTCAAATACTGCCGATGTGACGTTAAATCTTAACTCACTCACTCACTGTACATGTAACACATTGAGCTTGTGATCATTACACTGTATATACGCATCACATAATTACCGGAATTGGGACAAAAAGTGGGTGGAGACGCGCTTCATGGTAAATTTGCTCACGTGAGGCACCGTCTTCATCAGCTGGTGAACGTCAAAAAATACAACTTCAATCCTTATATTGACAAATTCATAAATCATAACAAAACAATCCATTAAACATCAAACTTTAATTATTGAAAGCGAACTATATCAACGCGGAGAGTCGTGACGTCATCCGTCCCACACATTCCATTTGGAGTGACATCCCTTGGTTTTACAAACGGCAGAAAATGGCGGCTACCACAATGTCATTCGCTTGAAATACGGGAAATGAACGACAGTCAGCTTGCTACTGTTCACCTACGCGAGGTCACCCGCTACTGTCAATAATACACTGTATATACGCATGACATAATTACCGGAAGGGAGTAAGGGAGATAATCACTCACTCTCAGTGATACAGCTTGAATAAGATACGATGCACAGCATTGCAAGGTCAGTGCATGAAAAGGTCTATACTAGGATCATAGCTAAAGAAGATAATCAATCCATGCGCAGTCGTTTATTCTTACAAAATATAGACCGGTTAACTTTAGCGAAAGAAGATGTATGTCTCCAAAACATTTTTAGCTCTTTTAAAAGCAAAATGAACAAATTGCATGGATTATCTACATTAAGAAACATGATCAAGTCACACAATGTGACAGGCGATTGGTTATAACGTGTCCAGATTATTAAGTCAATCTCATTTCATTTTAAAAACTCCATTTTTTTAGAGAAACCAAAATGGCGCTCTCCTTCAGTCAAAATTAAATTAACCCTTATACTTCCCTGCTACTGGCAGAGCAGGGCACGCCTTTCCGAGACTGATTATTCTCTGGAGTTGGCGTTTTATTCTTACCCGCCCTAAAGTGAGTGAGTGAGTGAGTATGGTTTTACGCCGCTTTTAGCAATATTCCAGGGGCTTCACACATTGTACCCATGTCGGGAATCGAACCCGGGTCTTCGGCGTGACGAGCGAACGCTTTAACCACTAGGCTACCCGACCGCCCCCCCCCCCCCCCCCCCCCCCCCCCCGCCCTAAAGGGCACACACACACTGGGTATATATAATATATATACTCACACAGTCAGTGTCTGTCGTGGGACCCGCTCACCTATTTGGCTTTACGGGATTGTCTGGTCCAGACTCGATTATTTACAGACCGCCGTCATATAGCTGGAATATTGCTGAGTGCGGCGTTAAACAATAAGCCAACCTACCACATCAAAAACAAAAACAGCAAAAGAAATATAGCCGAAGGTAAGGAGGCAAAAAAATTCAGATCAAGATGACGTCAAACGATTTATTTAATACGTTAAAACATATGACAGCTGATACTACTACTGCCATTTGCATTAACAAATTTGTAATTTATAGACCAATCCGTTGTTGTCAAAGGAGTACTGAGACACAATTTCACGGGACAGTTGCTTCAATTTCCCATCATCCTCTAGTTTCTTCATCAGTGGTTCAAGTCTTTCGTGGTACTCCTTGACATGGGTCAGATACTCCTCCCTCATCACGATGCAGATTAGGCCCCCTGTCAAGGAAATTATGGGATGTATACTATAGACAATATGTGTTACATATTCCAGATGTTGTTCCTTCAGCAGATTGCCACACGTTATGCAAAAATCCAAACGAGGTTCAACATTAAATACTTTTTCTCGTCTTTATTTAACGTTCTCCCTTTTCATAATCTGGACAAGACCATTGTCATACACCGTGGTACCCACTATGTCCCATACAGGGTAATAACTATTCCCCAATGCTGCTATATGTTCATATGTGGGTTTCTTGTTTAAAGGCGTATAGGCAATATCCCAGCTACTAGTATATGACGGTGGTCTGTAAATAATCGAGTGTTTGACATCATGAGCATCAATCCACACAGTTAGTCGATTGCATGTCATCGCATTCTAAGTCACCATGCCTGACCACTCGATCCATATAGTCGCCTCTTACGACAAGCATAGGTTGCTGGGGACCCACGGATCGACTGTACATATGTGAAACATCACACAAGCGCTGTGGGGATTATGTTGCTTCATTTGTCCACAGTACCCAGTCATACCAGACTTACATCAAGCCAGGATATCTAAGATGTAGTCTTGGCTAATTGTACACAGTTGGCGTTGGTCGCTGCTCACGCATTGGTTAAATGATCATTTAGAGGTAACCCTGCAGAGTGCGGAATTAAATAACAAATACATTTTGAGTGAATGACATTGAGAGCTGATTTGACCTTTTAAATGAAATATATTTCTAAAAACAAATCCAAACGGACATTCAGACTAAACAGTATACAGACTATGAACCTAATTTGATGTCGGTAGCTGGAATTTACCGAAACTATGGGATATTGTGGAAAATAAAAAAACCAGGAGGTAACCTTCTACAGTTTTCATAAGATTGTCATCGAGGCATTTAAGTGAAAAACGGGAAGCGAACTTAACGAATCACCTTCATTGCGACCTTGACTTTATACTCATTTATTTACAAACTTTTTCTGATCACGGTGGCGACTAACGGGATCGGGTGGTCAGGCTCGCTGACTTGGTAAATGCATGTCATCGATCCCAATTGCGTGGATCGATTCTCATGAAATTAATCACTGGATTGTCTGGTCCAGACTCGATTATTTACAGACCGCCGTCATATAGCTGGAATATTGCTGAGTGCGGCGTTAAACAACAAACCAACCAACCAATCTACCCTACCAATGACACACCCAGATTATATGACGCACAGCTGATGCTTCTCGAGGTAAGATTTGAGGATGACCTTGACGTAGGTGGTCAATACAAACGTGCTATATACAGGACGTGTATGTATATTACATACATGATATGATCAAAACAAGTGTGGTGTACTTGATATTATCTCCGTGAGATGTTGAAAACAAAGTGCGGTGATGCCACTGTCGGCGCCGTCAACATATAGCAATTATATAACGTGAATTCTAGTTCCAAATGAAAACATATACATGCTTCTTTCGCACGAAGAAGTACACGAGTCTTGCTAGAAGACTATGACTTGTGATCCTTGCATAAGTCATTTGCATTAATGTACACATTTTCGATTAAACTCACCTGGTTTAGTTATTCTAATTAGTTCGTGTAGCCCGTGGCAAGGAATGTGACCTTCTCCCATACCCCCCGATGTTACACAGCAATTGTATGTGTCTGCAAATGAAAGGATATTCTTTAAAATAACAATGCAGGACGAATGAAGAAACGAGATGCTATTCTAAATTAAAATACCGTATTCGACGTAATAAGCGCCCCGCTGTAATAAGCGCCCACGGCGATATTTGCTAATATATTGGCTAGTGAACAATCCCAATCAGCACCCCTTCCGATTGATCAATGTACACAAGACTTATGTATTCGTGTATGATACGCACTTTCGTGTTATATACATCCTTAATTATGGACAATCAAGTTCTGGAAAAATATATCTGTCAACATTTCAGGCTGTCAGCATAAATCACGAAATTTACGATCCTTCAGCTCTGGTTTTTTTCACAAAAATAATATTCTAATAAGAGCCCCGTATTTCTAATTTTGAGAGCGCCCTGGGGCTTATTACGTCGAATACGGTATTGTAAAATTTGCAGTGCTGTTATACAATCTGGGTTTGAATAGGTTCCCAGTACCTGATACAGCTGACATATTGCCGGCTTCCATGTTAAACAACATTAATTCTCTTTGAACCAACATCTATTATTCAATATCTTTAATGAAGAGCCTTGTACATAGTTATTTTAACAGGCATGCTATACGATTTCGTCTGAACAGATACAAGTTGTAACTACATTTACAGTATTTTAGAGATACAGGACGCCACAACCCAAAATGTTCCTCACCGTCCTCTATGGGGAGACGTTTGCCGTCCAGGAACTCACAGTACAGGTTGGTGTAGATGTTCGTCTTCCTGGCTTGTTCCAGCATCCCTGTAGCTGGTTCTAAGGCATCCAGATGCTTGAAACCTCGAGCCTGAAGCTGTAAAAGTCAATCGATAATACGCTTGTGGTACAGTGAGATCCGTCCTTTAAGGGATACGAATGTGAGAAACGTGTGATTTTCCGATCTTATTTTCATTTTTTTATTAATGAATTATATTACGAAATATCTATCAATGGTAAACATGGAATCCAAATGTTTCCAGATTTGATAGAAATATTTATGCTACTTTTCGCAGACGATGTCATTTTAGTGTCAGATACTGTTGTTGGTCTACAAAGGCAATTAAATATTTTAAGTACATACACGAGAGAATGGAAATTATCAGTGAACTTGGAAAAAACTAAAATTGTGATCTTTAGAAAAGGTGGTCCAATAGCGTCGAAAGAAAGATGACCATTCGATGGTCAGTCAGTCAATATAGTAGATCAGTATTCACATTTAGAAATCTGGTTCTCACACACAATGAATTAGAAAAAAATGTGCCCTTGACTTGTCCTTGCGTGCAAAGAGAGCTTTAATAAGTCTAATGTCTATTGCTCATAAAGTTGGAACGATGTCATCTAATATCTTCTTTGTTGTTTGTTTGTTTGTTTATTTGTTGTTTAACGCCGCACTCAGCAATATTCCAGCTATATGACGGCGGTCTGTAAATAATCGAGTTCGGACCAGACAATCCAGCGATTGACATAATGAGCATCGATCTACGCAATTGGGATACGATGACATGCATCAACCAAGTCTTGGTTGATGCATGGCATCATATCCCAATTGCGTGGATCGATGTTCATGTCATCACTGGATTGTCTGGTCCAGACTCGGTATTTACAGACCGTCGTCATATAGCCGGAATATTGCTGAGTGCAGCGTTAAACAACAAACAAACACTTGCGTGGATCGATGCTCATGTCAATCACAGGATTGTCTGGTCCAGTCTCGATTGTATACAAACCGCCGTCATATAGCTGGAATAATGCTGAGTGCGGCTTTAAACAACAAACAATCAAACAAACAACCTGAATGTGTACCTCCTTCCCTACAAGTCCTGTTCCAGTAGCAACGTCTAGTATTTTCGTCTCTGGGATTTTGTCACAGAAATGCTCTGTAAGAACATTTGCAGCAATGACTGGTCCCCTGTAACGTTTCGAACACAGATCCTGTGGGAAAAAAAGAAGAAAAACATTAAGAAATCAAGATTGTCGCGGCGCAGAACTTTAAAATCTTGCAGAAACACTGGCTTCAGGATGATAATAATGGCTTGAGTTATGGGGAGGGGGGTATAAAATGTCAGTGATAAACTACAATGTCAACAGGTAAGGACGGTGTCATATATGGATCAGGGACAGTTTGGTTTGTGTTTGGGGTGGGGTCGTGGAGGTACCATACAAATATGATTTTCTCGCAGGACATGGTGGATGCCCTGAAATATATTAAATCGATCGGCTCCATTTAAACAAAATAAAACAAATCTCTCAACAAACATTCAAGGTATCTTCGGAATATTAGATAGTGGGACACTTTCCGACCTGTAGATGTCGAATGGTGGTAGCTTTTACATACCTGATTTCAAGTCAAGCTATTTGCCCGGAATATTTTGCGCAATGAACATCAATATATTGATACATTATGTGTAGATTAAGACATAGCTCGCTCATATACTGACTGACAGACAGACAGGCAGATTTATTTCGTATGTGTGGCCATGAGGCCAATTGTACAATGACATTTTGTTGTAAGAAAATTCAACAAATTCAGCAGGTATTTAATTCTTATATCTTCATATACTGGACATATCAATAAATCATGGTATTCATCTTCTTGGTAATATTTGCAGGAAGGACACATCGATGTTAAAACGTCATTATCTTTGGGGTCTCTGTATATTGATCAGGGTATGTATACCACCTGAACTTCGTTAAACATCTGCGTAAAGATAAAGATCGAATTGTTGTTAAATACATTTCTGGTATTATTTCCATCTTAAACATGGAAGAGGCATGTAGCGATTTTAAACATCTGATATCAGCTGACTAGCATTGACAGTACATATCTTTACGTTGTTTAAACATTGTTAAGAACATTATTTTATTTCCAACATCCTGGTATATCCACGCGTATGCAAATCCATGCGAAAAAAGAGTTTCTTTAACAGCTGAAGCCCAGTTTATATCCCCAAAGACATCAAGGCGCTTAAGCATATAATAGCATCGTCTAGAGTAGCGTGTATCTGGTTGTCTGAGCAAACGTATCCAGTATGAGATAACTCTACATTGATAGTGTATATATATCGGGTGCCTTCCGCATTCTGCTAAAATTGCCTTATTTGGTCATATACTCATTGACGGTATGCGTACCTGATCATATTTTCCATTCTCCGCCCATTTAGAGTAGTACTCAACGCATTCTTGCATACTGATCCCAACACGGTGAGCCTCATAGCCTCTGGAGTAAGCACGAGCATCATCTGGCGCACTGTTTTCAACATATCGCTTTGCTTTCTCTTCTGCCATTTCTGAAAAAGAAAAGAGAAATATATACATTAAACATACTGCCCCAAGTTCTCAAGGTTAAAAACAGTCAAAAGAAGACGCTAAAGGGTGAGGTGGTCGTTAAAAGGTAAAGGAACTACTTCCACAATAGATATCCTACTGAAAGGCATCAAGTACATGACAAAACAAACAATTCTGACCTGGTAGCTCAACATGTAAATCAACATATCAAAATAAACGCGCACGCGCACGCACTTGGTACAACAAACTAACTGCATATACAATTTCAAACTATATCAAAAGAATTGGCTCAAGAAGTAACATAAATTGACCCCTGAAGGTCCGGGGTAGAATAGGTCTTCAGCAAACCATGCTTGCCGTAAGAGGCGACTAACGGGATCGGGTGATCAGGCTCGCTGAATTGGTTGATGCATGTCATCGTATCCCAATTGCGTGGATCAATGCAATCACTGGTATCATTTACAGACCGCCGTCATGTAGCTGGAATATTGCTGAGACCGAAATATGAAAATAAAAATAAAAACCGAAATCATGTCCATTCTTCTTTTGAAATGGATTCAAAATCCATATATAGAGAGATATATTGCTCGGTCCACTAAACGTACCAACAAATCCTGGTCTCGAAGATTAACGACTATCCTTAATGCATAATCTAGGATGGACTTCTTTATATTCACAGAAAGTATTTTAGACAAGTGGAATTAATATCATTCATTCTCAAAAATGGTAGAATAGTCAATTCACTTCCTCTGATTTTCCAACATGATCTAGAAAAAAATGAGACCATTAAAGCCACCTCATCTGTTTTATGTTTATGTAATGTAATGTAATGTTTACAGATTTTGCGTGACTAAAAACTATCCACGAAACTGCATGACAAGAGGAATGAATGTCAATTTCCCTTCATGTCGAGCAATATTCCAACAGCTCCAGCCTTTTGGGGACTACATTTTACAACATGAGACACAACCAAGCATGCTCTCACTACGAAGATTTCAAAGCGCGTCATGTGACGCTTGTTCAAAAGTGTGTTTAGTCAGGGACAGCCAGGGCCTTACGGGCCAAAGTATATCTCTCAAAATGGTTTATGGTAGACATGTGGAGGAAGATGCGTTCCCGTGTTTTTAAGGCCTTCGTGGTTGTTTGCGATGGGTGCCGACTGTCGGGCGGGTTACGATCACCATTTTACCGAACACCTGGTATCATCACATCGTCATGCATAAACACATGCTCATGGAACAATCGGAATCGCACAGCGGACAATATGAATATTCCATATTTCCTCATATCCTCAGTACTAACAGTGACCCGTGAAGATTCCGGGGTAGAATAGGTCTTCAGCAACCCATACTTGCCGTAAAAGGCGACTATACTTGTCGTAAAAGGCGACTAAAGAGATCGGGTGGTCAGGCTCGCTGACTTGGTTGATGCATGTCATCGATCCCAATTGCGCGGATCGATGCTTATGATGTCAATCACTGGATTGTCTGGTCCAGACTCGATTATTTACAGACCGCCGTCATATAGCTGGAATATTGCTGAGTGCGGCGTTAAACAACAAACAAACAGTACTAACAGTGCCAGACCCAATCTATGAGTAGTAAGGAATTATTTCATTCTCCAGTTTAAAGTCGTGATTTAGACCCCACGTGCGTTGATACCCCTACATAACAAGACCATCCTCACTCGGATTATAACCGGGAAGATCCGGGTTAGAATAGATCTTCAGCAACTAATACTTGCCGAGGGAGGCGAACTATTCATCGGGGCTATATTCTGATATTCGAGAATGATTATTCTCTGGCGTTGATAATTTGAATTTCTTCACTTAAAATAACCATTTAGGCTTTTTGAAGTACTCGACCCTTTGGGTAACATTTGACTGTTTCAGCCTATATGTGAGGAAACTTTACCATTTCCTTTGTATGGAGGTTATAGACATGTCGCTGGGTCACTTCAGACTTCAACAGGTCCAGCATTTATCTCTGGAAGATCACTTGAATAGTGAGGGAGTATGGTTGTACGCCGCTTTTAGCAATATTCCAGCAATATCACGGCGGGGGACACCAGAAATTGGCTCACACATTGTACCCATGTCGGGAATCGAGCCCGGGTCTTCGGCGTGACCAGCGAACGCTTTAACCACTAGGCTACCCGACCACCCCGATCACTTGAATAAATTGTAACACATTAATATGGGATCATCAAAGATACGTTATCACGTTGCCATACTGAAAAAACAAAGCAAACAGTGACGTCACAGCAAAGCGATACTTGTCGGCTGTAGCATTGTCACGTTACCACATGTGCACAATGTGACACATTTATTTGGGTCACTTATCTTATGAGCATTGATATTACTGTTGGGAATAAAAACATCTCAACGTGTGTCTGAACATGTCTGATGTACTCTACTATAACGTATCTCTGAACATGCCTGATGTACTCTACTGTAACGTGTGTCTGAACATGTCTGATGTACTCTACTATAACGTGTGTCTGAACATGTCTGATGTCCCCTACAATATCGTGTGTCTGAACATGTCTGATGTACCCTACAATACCGTGTATCTGAACATGTCTGATGTACTCTTATTTAACGTGTCTGAACATGTCTGATGTACTCTACTATAACGTGTGTCTGAACATGTCTGATGTACTCTACTATAACGTGTGTCTGAACATGTCTGATGTACTCTTATTTAACGTGTGTCTGAACATGGGGGGGGGGGGGGGGGGGGGGCTGTAACTGTGTTAATGTGTTAATGTTTTGATGTTTTATACGATCTGGAGGAGCCATCTTGATTGTCACCAAGTCGTAAAACCAGTCTAGTCACGGTCAAGTGACCGCACCGCTTCCCCCTCTCTTAATTGTCCAGCTTCTTTGCTGTCTACCATTTTAACATTCATTGTTAGAGAATAATTGGTGACCCGGTAATTAAATTTTATTCTCTAGGGGTTTAATCATATACATTTATCATGTATTTATTTTATATATCTTTTATTATATATGTTTATTTTCACGCATGAGCGCATTTATCTGGTACTGGTAGATATTTTACATGTGTTTATAGTTCTATTTGCCAACTTAATAATTGTACATATCTGGGTGTAAGTCTTTAGTGGTACCGTTGGATAGATGACGGGCCGGGCCAGCGGGTATTACTAAAAATGGATTGCAGAATAATAAAAGGAAAACGTGCACATCTAGGCAGTTACGTATAGTTTTGCTCAATTAATTGAGTTTGAATCAAAATGCATCTTCAACAATGTAATAAACGGATAATTATGACGTGAGTCCTCGTAGAAAGGTCAGTGTCTTGACTGTGTGTTTTCTTTGATGAGAAAGTTTCTCACCGACCTTAGCTTGTAGGGGTGTGATTTCCAGGGCAGGAAACGACAGTGTTTTGACTACTCTTGTTTAATTAATTAACGTGTTGGGCATCCCTAATTAACCTTTACTAATTTAAACATAGTACATAGTCTCTAGATGTAGCCGATTATGCGCGATAAAATCCTTTCTTACTGTTCAGGTTGACATGAATTCAGGGTGTGTATATGTATATGTGTATATGTGTATGTATGTGTATGTATGTATGTGTGTGTGTGTGTGTGTGTGTGTGTGTGTGTGTGTGTGTGTGTGTGTGTGTGTGTGTGTGTGTGTGTGTGTGTGTGTGTGTGTGTGTGTGTGTGTGTGTGTGTGTATGTATGTGTATGTATGTGTGTGTGTATGTGTGTATGTATGTGTATATATATGTATGTATATTATGTGGAGTTTGCAATGTGGGTATGGATTGTTTTTCACAAGCACAATATGTACTTCTGACTGAAAATGTGTATTTTATTTAAAATTTTGATATCGAATATGTACAGTCTTAGTACACAAGCATGTGATCACAACAAACATGTCTATAACATATATTCCATTTTACTTTTGACATATATAACGTACTCTCGGGTATTAGATTCAAAGTGGATATGCACTAATTAACTTGAAAATTATGTTTAAGTTGATCAAAATTGGAATATGAATACACTCTTCATGTGCTGATCCACTTATGATCAAAACATCAAGGATTATACTTTAAGTATTAACTTACACAAACTGATCAAGTCGCAGCTAATCACATACTAAATAACTCAAATAGTAAATACTCTATAATCATAGCTCAAAATTACCATCCCAATCCAGTAAGTTTTAGAATTCAATGACTAAACGCTGATGTGGTCCAATTTGCTTGCATATAATAATATTATGATTGTTGACATATTTATAACCCCGGCTGACCACTCATTCTGATACAGCGCCATATATTTCCCTCAACCAAACATTATTTAAAACATCTATTGCATAACTCTCTTAAAATTGTATTCAACAAATACTTACTTTTTGTGTTTCCTTTCTTTATTGTTATGGGTATCCAACGGTATGAAAACAGCCGACAGACTCGCAGTGAGGTCGCTTGCGTAAAGCGTGCAGCAGCTTATGTTATGTAACATAATCGAGTCTCCCGTACTACCCAAGTGTGCTGCGCTTACGGCATACAAATATAGTTATCGTAAATTATTGGCCACCTATTTCTCTTAAACTGTACATGTACTGGTACCTCAACCAAATGACCTAGTAAAATAAACCATGCGGTGATTGACTTTCTACTGCATATTTATGGACACATGCATTGTATGCAGTCCTACTTTAAATGTCAACTTATGTAAATTGAATCAAGTCGAAGCTAATCACATATTAAATAACTCAAATAGTAAATACTCTATAATCATGGTTTAAAATTACCATCCAAATCCAGTACGTTTTAGAATTCAATGTTAAAAACACTGATGTGGTCCACTTTGCTTGCATATGATATGATTGCTGACTTATTAAAACCCCGGCTGACCACTCATTCTGATACAGCGCCTTATATTTCCCTCAACCAAACATTTTTTTAAATATCTATTGCATCACTCTCTTAAAATTGTATTCAACAAATACTTACTTTTTGTGTTTTCCTTCTTTATTGTAACAGGTATCCAACGGCATTAAAACCACTTGCGTAAAGCGTGCAGCCAACTTATGTTACGTAACTTATTCGTGTCTCTCGTCCTACCCCAGTATACAGCGCTAACATACAACTATAATTACCGTATAACATTGGCCATCATTCCCCTTGAGTATGACACTTGCATTATGTCCAATTGCTGTAATTCTCTGTTGTATTGATGTGAAACCCTAATATTAAGATATGCATTATCCCTGATTGTTTTTATCGGATATTTTGTTTATCGAACCGAGAAAACTATGTTTGTGTTGTTCATTCACTTTTTCATATCTGTTTTTGATAATGTTTTCGTACTTGTTTGTTGTCCAAGAAAAGAAAACCAAAATAGTGCTTATTTACGTATCTTGTACCGAGCCATATCTGTAGCTTGTGTGTGTCTGTATGATTGTCCATTTCTTTTGCGACCCACTGTGCCTTTGTTTATCATACTAACATTCGATGTCGGTTGACATATCACAATATAGACAAGCAGTGGGTACATTTGCAGTTACACTTCATGTTAAATACTCATTTAAGTTTCTGATTTTTGTACACATTATGGTAATTGGATATTTTAGTTTGTGCAACAACAACAGTACTTACGCGTTCATATTTAATATACCAATTACAGGTCAATCACCTCATTACGTTTATATTCAACACGATTTCTTAACTCTGTCACCCGAATGTGCTTTTTATGCCGTCTGGATCATGTTACAGTAATTACATCCCACAATGCACTCTCAACAGTCTGCGCATGCCCAGTAAGACGGACATGACGTCACAGTGTTTACCTTTATTAACCCTGCAGCCCCGCACGAGGTTACTTTCTACATTGTCGCAAGCCACTCAACTGCGTTATTCTCATATGCTTCGGTGCTAAATCACGAGTCAAGTCAAGCCATCCGATCTCGGGTTTCGCGCTACTCAGCTAACCCAGACTAATAATGGCGGAGTGGAGACATAGACGAGCCAGAAGTCAGCGCAATCGGGTTAATGTTCTCGACTCCGCACAGCCTGAAGAAAACCCGGATAGCCTCGAACCCCGCGCCACTGCTGCCAGTGCCAGTCGTACTACAGGGAGAATCAGCAGTCAACCGTATCTGACCGTGGCCCAGCTACGCAAACAACTGGCAGAACGGGGCGTGAGGGTTCCAAATAATTGGCCTAGGAAAAACTTGTTGCAGCTGTTCCAAGAAAACCAACAACAACGGCCAGCAGCAGCGACGGTGACCTCGTCGGACAGTTACGACCCGAGTGCCATTTCGTCTCCGGCGGCCACACTTCCGGGGGTGGTCGAAGCCAGCACACATCACAGGAACCCAGATGCCCTCGTTAGTGGGACCACGCTACCCTACAGTGTCATATCGGACTTCGGGGACGATGGTACCAATTCCGTGTCACCTGTTAGTATTGCCAGCCTACAACGCGAACTTGCAGAGCTAAAACACATGATAGCGAACATGACCAGCCATAACGCAGTGCCCACCGAGTACGCAGCTACAAGCCTACCGGATCACCTCAGCCATGATGTGCCGTCGGATTCGTTGCCCCACATCCACACAGTCGCGCCAGCGCTCAAGAAGAAGATTAAAGACGGCAAGTACTGTAACCTGGCCTTGTTATTGATACCTAATCAAGACACTCTAGACACTAGAATGGCCGAATATGATGGCAATGTATATCATTTAAAGGAGGATGCTAGGCTAAATCGCACTCTAACACTAGCAGAATTCATACAGGCCTTTGGCATTTACAAGGACATTCTTTGTGACATCAATAACGCCAAACGGAAACAATTGGACGGACACGAGCAAACTGTCATCGAACTGGCTACGTTGTATGGGGGCTCTGCGCACTATGACTACCACAAGTTATTCGCTGCCAGAGTGGCGTCCTACGCAGAACAAGGTTGCATCATTCGCTGGGATATGAGGGACACACGTCTGTACGGGCTGTGTTCGTCGGGGCGCCGTTCCAGATCGTGTGCGATTTGCCACAGCATCACCCATGGTACAGACTTGTGTCCTGAGCGACGTACTGATACAGTTAGGCCCACCCTGTTCTCGGACCGAAGTGCCAGCTCCGACAGGATGGGGGCGATGGACAAAAACGACACCAGGGGACGACCTAGAGTTAGGTAAAACGGAAGGGAGGTCTGCAATAATTTCAATCACCAGGGCTGTGTGAGAGTGAACTGTGCATACCTTCATGTATGTCTCAATTGTCATGCCCCAAACCACGGACAGGCAACTTGCGCCAAGGCTCCCAAATCGAGACGGGACAACCAAGCTTGACTAACTTTCCCGGATATAACCAGAGAAGAGGACGTAGGCACCTTTGCAGTCCAACTCACTCCCATCAATGTTCAGGCTATACAGGCAGAACTCGCCTCTCATCCCCATCCTCCATTTGCTACATATCTCGTCAACGGCTTGCAACATGGCTTCGACCCCTTAATGTCGGATGTTCCACAGTCCACAACGGAATGTAAAAACAATCGTAGTGCTACATTGGATCCAATAGTTGTGACTAAGGCAGTGCAAACAGAAGTCGATAAAGGGTACGTTATCGGACCTTTCCAGCGGGCTCCATACCCTGTCTACAGAATTAACCCCTTAGGAGTTGCCACGGGCAAGTACTCGGGCAAGAAGAGGCTAATCCTTGATCTGTCAGCCCCACATAACTCGGAACATACCGCAAGTATCAATGATCTGATTAGTAAAGAATCTGCTTCACTCTCGTATGTGACCATAGACTATGCTATTGCAGTTATTAAGCAACTGGGACATGGTGCACAAATGTGTAAGGTGGACATTACCGACGCATTCAACCAGATTCCGCTGCACCCCAGGTACTGGCCGTTCTTCGGTTTCCGATGGGACGATAGGTACTACTTCTACACTAGATTGGCGTTCGGGTGCAGATCCAGTCCAAAGATTTTCGATACCCTATCACAAGCCGTGTGCTGGATATTGCAATACAACTACGGCGTTAAAAACATTTTGAATCTGTTAGATGATTTCCTGACTATTGATCCTCCCGGTTATGAAGCTAGCACAACTATGGATGCCATCTTAACCTTGTTCGACAAACTATAAATTCCACTCGCTGTTCACGAGACTGATGGACCTGTAACTTGTCTAGAATACCTCGGCATCATCTTGGACTCAGTCTCGATGACGGCGAGCTTACCAGAGAACAAGTTGAAAAGGATAGCAGATATGTTAACATCATTTTCTACTCGGACTAAGTGTATGAAAAGAGAGTTGCTGTCTTTGTTAGGGCATTTAAACTATGCTTGTCGAGTGGTAGTACCAGGCAGATCCTTCCTATCTTATCTGATTCGACTGTCGGCCACTGTGGTCAAGTTGCACCACCATATCAGACTATCTAAGCAATGTCGGATAGAGATGCACATGTGGAAAAAATTTCTGAACCAGTGGAATGGCATCTCGTTTTTCCATGACGACCATATCACATCAGCTCCGGATCTCAATCTGTATACGGATGCAGCTGGAAGTGTAGGACACGGGGGATATTTTGATGGGGCATGGTTCGCCCAGGCGTGGCCTAAGGACGTTATAAACAGTCGAGACTCAGCACAATCAATTGCTTGGTTGGAACTTTATCCTATTGTGGTGTCGGCCATTCTCTGGGGACGACATTGGACACAGAAGAGAGTACTGTTTCATTGTGACAATATAGCTACTGTGGGTATTATCAAAAAGGGTAGATCAAAATGTATGGACATTATGGCTCTGATGCGGACCCTTACATGGCAAGCAGCTTTAAATAACTTTATTGTGTTAGCTGAACATGTTCCAGGCGTACAAAATAACATTGCAGATGCACTTTCCCGTTTGCAGTTCAGGAAATTCCGAGCCCTGGCGCCCCACGCAGACCTCCATCCAACGCCTTGCCCACCCAGCTCCCAAGTGACGTGGACCTGAACCATCACCTGGACACCCTGTGGTCAGCCGCGATCAGTCGACAAACAAGAACAGCATATTCTACAGGATTTCAGTGCTACCTAAAGTTCATGTTAAAGTTCAGTCTGTTCAACACACTGGGTGCCAGCAGCTTCCTGCCACCAGTTAACGACGCCTACCTTCAGTACTTTCTTGCCCATTGCTTCGGCTTCCTCAAACTCTCACATGACACCGTGAAGACTTATCTGGCGGGAATCAGATTTACGTACCTACAAGCGGGCATCAGGACACTGTTTGAAGATGTCTCAACCGGTGCCCTAAATCGGATTCAAACTCTACTCAGAGGATACAAACGGGCCCATACACCAGAGCGGAGGAAGAGACTCCCCATCACTTACCATGTGCTACGTAACATCATCAAGCGGCTCAGGGATGGCGTGTTCGGTCCTTTCAACGATTTGGTAATGGAATGTATGTGTCTTACAGCGTTCTTCG